CATATTAGATTCAATTATTCTTGTGTTTCATTTTGCATGTTTTGACTTCCAGAATAAACTAGGTTATTCTTCCGGAATGACTAAGTTATTCAAACCATCCACAGTCGGTCATATGTTGGAAGTAGATATGAATCAAGACTGTCATGGGTTGGCTTGTAGAGGTCCAAGTTGGTGGACAAAGTTGTGCTACAACACTCATGAGTGCTCATAAGTTCTGAGTATTGGATTCAACCCGCGCTCATTGGAATCACTTCATGGATTTTATCACGAGTGATCATGAGACGATAATATCTTATATTCTTCAAACCTAGAGATATGAGTTGTTACTATGAGTTGGTTGTACATTGATTGCACGAAAACGCATTCGGTAACTCGATGTTATAAAACGTGCCTTTGTGTATGATTCAACAAGTAGTAGAACAAGCCATATGAGTCGAAGTTTATCCATTCCTTTTACCTTCGGGATAAAAGCGATATATGTGGGCCCCTCGATGATTTAGCGATGACACATGTGAGTGCTTGGCCAAGCCAGGACTAATTTGATCTATTCAATCAGTCAGTCGTCATAAATCGGAAATCGGGAAACAACAAATGGACAGAGAGAATGATTTATAATCCATGTCTCAGTCCATATGATATCTAGAATGGAGGTATATATGATCACTTATCTAATGGACAAGTCATTGACAAAGGTCAGAGATCATCGGCAAGGTCAGAGTTCGACGGAAGCTTTTGAGAGCTACGATTGCCAGTCGGTTCTTGAAGTCATACGCAATAATAGTTTTAGACTTATCCAAGTGGGAGACTGTTGGATTAATGTCTAAGTCCATAACTATAATTGGTAAGACTTGACCCGACCCGGCATGGTCCATTTGGGTTGCATGGCATCATGCATTTGGATAGACTATAATGAGAGAAATAACACTTAAGGTTTGTTAATATATTATAAGTTATAATATATTAATAAGATTATTTAATTAGTATTGATCAAGAATTAGTTTGGAATTAATTAAGTGATCAAAAGAAGACTAATTAAATATATGGGTTGATTGTGTAAATCACCCATACTTGTATAGTGGGCTAATGCTCCATGTATTGTTAAGTTGGGCTAAAACCCATAAGATACTCCATGGATGCTCCATGGAGTATTTGAACCCATGGATCCAAGGAAATGGAAAGCCATGACAATTAGGGTTTACCCTAATTGTCACTAACTATATAAGCATCTTATTGTTGACAAAATCGGTCACTAGAGAATGAACATGAGGGCTAGCCGATTTTCATGAAGTGTGTATGTTCTCTCAAGTTATTCCAAGTGTATTTGGTGTTGTGTGAACCATTTGAGGTGTCATACTTGGGGCACTAGACACTCAAGCTTCATGAAGTCATTCTACATCTAAGAGGTATGTAATTCTAACTTGATATATTCATATGAATCAATGTTATTATGCTAGTTAGCATGAATACCTTGGAAAGTTCATATTTGCATGTATAATAGAGAAAACATAGATCCAAGGTATTTAGGGTTGCATGTACACTTAGGAGTGTTAGAATGCTCAAAACCCTACACTTGGAGCCTAAGCAGTCAAATTAGGGTTTCCTTGTTTGATAACCCTAACAGCCTCACTATCTAAAGACCCCTATGGCCCCAAAAACGTGGCTAAATCTTTTGGAAGAACCCTAGGACGTTTTTGGTGCTCCTTGTCCTTCTCATAAGTCATCCTCTTGCTCTTGGAGTTTGTAAACTATTAGAGGAGTGACATTTGTGACTCTAAGCTCCAAGGAAACGAGATTCAATCCATTCTATAAGAGGTATTCATCTAGATCTGTTCTTACATGTTAATTTCGATATACATATGCTAGATCTAGGGTTTATGAGCTTTGGATGATTATTGCATGTTCATTAGACAAACTAGATCCAAAGCTTTAGGGTTTGCATGTACACCATAGGAATGATGTAGTGCTCAAAACCCATCACTCCAAGGGTGGCGTATCTTCCTCCAAGTGGAACACTGACGTCTAAGTTGGCACTCCTTCTTCAAAAAATGGCAAACCTTCCTTCAAGTTGGCTCATCTTCCTTCTAATTGGTACATCTACCTTCTAATTGGCACATTCCATTCACAAATGGCACACTTGCATCCCACGGTGGCACACCTTGCATCTAAGTAGTACACCTTGTCTCCAAAGTGGCGCATCCAAGCATAGGATGACACATCTAGATCATACATGGCACATCCATGCACCAGGATGCTCTATTCCACTCGCAGGTGCTCCATACCCCCTTTTATAAGATTCGTTCCTTTGTCACTTAATTCGTCCCTTTGTCAGATCATCCATTGCCTTCTCAAATGATCTATTCCTTTGTCACATGCTTCATGAAAACCAAGTGCTCCATTGAACTCAAATTCTCCATGCGAATGCTCCAAATGCTCAAGTCACATTTAACGTTTCACTTCTACTGTTTTCAAGTATAGATCAATCACCTGAGAAGGCAAATCATGAATGTCCACTGATTGTGTATCTTCTTTGTTAATTAGATGAACACATCCCTTTAGCTCCTAAATCTAACAAAAAATATTCTCATGCAAAATGATTGAAATGGATTCAAGAATGTTATTAATGCATGATGTGTTGATACAAACATGTTTGTTATAAATATTATCCTCTCAATAATTGTAATTATAAATTATCTTCTCTACCACCTTCATAAATAAATCCTAGATCACACCCTTAATGGGATACCTTATATACCAAGTCGCACATGTGTCTCCTTTGGAACAAAGGTCCGTGGCCACATAACCAATTGAAGAAAGAGTGATTGGACACCATTGTTTTCATGGAATTTCTTACGTATAGTAGTTAAACCAAAAACCATTAAAATTTGCATCCCTCCAATGTAATTAATTGACACCTTATTGAATCCTTCATTTCTATAATCTGCACACAAATTAGACATAAAAGATAGTTCCTTGGCATTTTCAGAGACCAAATAAAAAAGGTGACATATGAAATAACACCATTATTGGGTTTTCTATGCATTTAAACACAAGATTATGTGCAACGAAAACAAAACAATAATCATATATGTTCATGCACCCTAATGCTCTAATTTTAATGTTATTACTACTACCTTACTAAAACATAAATAAGGAAGAATTACATACCTATTTTGATGTCATTGATCTCCATTCTTGAAATCTTGTCCTTATCAATGTTGCTTGGATGAAAGGACCCAAACCAGGATCCATCCAATGGTATCACACCCAAGACACCAAAAAGAGAATCAAAAGATCACTAGTAAGAGGATCAAATTTCTACAAACCCTAATGAGGGTTAAGAATTTCGTTCAAAAAAGAGGAAGAATGGAATTGGCTAAAAATCAAGTTACGGAGCAAGGAAGAATGAAATCCTTAGCACCCTATTTATAGCCTTAGATCCCCATCCAAGTTTCATCTCCCCTCCTAAATGGGATGGAGGATTTTGAAATTCACCTTCCATCCCAAGTATAATGGAGTGAATTTCGAAATTTCCTTTATCCTTAAGAGTGCTGAAACATTCCAATTAGTCAATATTTTAACTAATTAATATTCAACCTTTTGAATTAATTAATTTCCAATTAAAAAATAGTTTCTAATTAATTTATTAAACATAATAAACTAATTTTTCTCCTTAATTCCTTTTCTTTTAATTCCTCAAATGGGTCATGAAGGAACCCAAAACGACCATGTTATTATTAAAAATATTACCAATAGTTAATGACTTTGTACACTCTTTCCAAAACCACAAACTCTCAATTCAACCCTATTTGATTCTCATCAATTATTAAGTGAAGGTTTTCATATTTCCCACGATTCCCGGCACTATATTAGCATGAAATTTTGGACATATATTAGCATCTTACGTCCTTATTATAATAGTATATTGATTAACATTATTTGCCTCTCCTTCCGGCCTGGATTATTGCTTCATGTTTCGGTTAAACCTTGCTAGCAAAGCAAAATATTATAGTTCCATGCCCACAAAGAATACAAGTTTTGGATAAGCATGTCCACCTTCTCGATCTTAAGAAATCAGACAAATCTAAACATCTTCAAGTGTTTGGGTCTCTTGAACATCCAAAATTGTGCCAAACTTTTCACATAATCACAAGAAAATTTTATAACGTAAAAAGTATATGAGGTCTCAAATGATCAAATGAGGTTTCCCCTAGTCCTCTCCTTTTTCCATTGTTTACTTTTCTTCGATCAACGTAATTTCTCACGGACCATCCCTCGATCATCGCAAATCATAATGAACCATTGTAACAGTAACTTCATAATAGCAAAATTTGAAATCAAATTACTCGCAGACAAAACTGTTGACAACAACGTTCAGATAAAAGCAATAATCTCACCCACCACAATAACCAAGAAATCCAAGCACTCCATATTGATCACTCTCGATGAACACCCCCACATCCCATCTTGAATTCCAATAACCCTAGTTGACAGTAAGAAAATCCACGAAGAGAGAAACTCGTTTGCGTCTAAGTGATTCTATGATTGAATAATTCGAATCAAAATAGGAAAGGGAATACATTTATTTTAAAAATCAGTTTTCTATGAACAACTTCCATGTTATGCATTAATGTAGATTTTTTACCCATTTATATTAATGAAGTGGATTTCTTTTATGTACTCGTTTTTTTCACTTTGTTTTTGTTATCAATTTATACAATAAAAATGGAGATAAAAGCGTACTAAAAATATTTATAAAAGCTTTATAGCAAATCAAGACATGATCGTACAAAATTGATAGAAAATCATTTGATTTTTATTATATATAAGATCACCTTTCAAATGTGATTATTTTCATCATAATTATAAAGAACTCAAAATAGTATATTACACATTCTCTCTCTCCTAATTAAGTTAGGATCCAAACATCCTCCTTAAATAAAATTCACGAGGTAGGAGTGTTCAAGATAACTTGATACCTCGAGCGACTAAATATAGCAAAAATGGAGAAAAAGGAAGAGGTGGAGGAGGCGAAGAGGACGACTCCACGCCACTTAGCACCACCCTATATCGCAACAAACGTGAATAAAGTTTTTCTTATGTAATCCATCGTAACTCCTAGTGAAAAAGTCTTCATCTCTTTCATCCATTGCTCTATTTTTGGCTTTTTACATCACAACCGAGGTGGGTTTCTTCGTTCTTTAATTCTTTGCTTCAATCCAACTACTATTGCTTTCCTATAATTACAGGCTATAAATACATACGATTGTAATCGGTTCGTATAGTTTTTCAATTGCAAGAAACCCTTTTGAAACTTACAGAAATCAGTCTGCTTGAATTTTCCGATGGATCGGAATTTCGTAATTAGGGTTCTTGTTCTTGTCATACATTTGGGGGTTTGGGTATCAGCAAATGTCGTTTTTCAGGTCCAGCACAAGTTTACCGGCAACAGAAGGTCTATAACTGCTTACAAAGCTCATGATACCTACCGTCACCGGAGAATCCTCTCCGCCACTGACCTCCCTCTGGGTGGCAACGGCAGCCCCTCCGCCGCCGCGTAATTCCTCTATCTATCTCTACATTTATATGGAATTAAGCATTATTTTAAAGACAGTTTTTTTTTTCTTAATTATTAAATGTTTGTACGATTTTTATAGGCTATATTTCACGGAAATTCAAATCGGAACTCCACCACAGAAATATCATGTGCAAGTCGATACTGGAAGTGACCTCTTATGGATAAACTGTATCGGATGTCAAAATTGTCCCCAAAAAAGTGACCTTGGAGTATGTTAATTTTATTCAAAATCTTGGCAAAAACCGTTGAAATTTTATCGATTTCATTCATTAAAAATTTTATTTTTTTGTTTTATATACAGATTGAACTTGCATTTTATGATCCAATGTCCTCCACAAGCTCCCAAATGATTACTTGCGATCAAGATTTTTGCACAACGACCCTCGATGCCTCTAACAAAGCTTGTATTATTGGAATGCAATGTTCATATCTTGTTAGATATGGTGATGGGAGCTCAACAAAAGGGTATTTTGTTAGAGATAATGTGAAGCTCGATAGGGTTTCGGGGAACCTTCAAACCGCATCCATGAATGGAAGCATTACTTTTGGGTGAGTTATCTGCAATTTTTGTCCCATTGACATCAGTCTCTATAACTTTTTATAAATGGAAAAATTAACAATTTATTTTTATTGAAAATAGGTGTGGGGCCCGACATTTTGGGGGACTAGGCTTATCCCAACAAGCACTAGATGGGATTCTAGGGTTTGGTCAAGCAAATTCTTCGATAATTTCGCAGCTTGCTTTGGCTAAAAAGGTAAAAAAGACATTTTCGCATTGTTTGGCTAGTTCTAAAGGAGGTGGGATTTTTGCTATTGGAGAAGTGGTGTATCCGAAAGTGAAAACAACACCGATTTTACCCAATGAGTAAGAAATAATTTTTACGTTATAGTTTTTTATTTGCTAACGTAGCTTCGTCTCTTTTTTTATAGACAGTCAAAACTTTATACACTATTACGGCGGAATCTGACGGATCTGGAATTCAAGATTCCATTCCATGGATGGAATTCAATTCCGTCAGATTCCTTCAAATTCTCATGTTTGATTGATTTCACCGTTCCTAGGGGTGGGTCTAAGGAATTCAATTCCTTTTTATGTAAAAGACCAAAATAACCTCATTATATATATATTGAAATAAATAAAAATAAAAAGGGTAAAAAAATCTAAAAGCTATTCAATTTAATATTGAATTCCACTCCATTTATTGCCAACCAAACATGTAACAATTTATCCTTTGACAGATTTCAATGTTTCCAAAAAGATTCCTTACATCACTTTCAAACGTATATTTATTATTACTTACACATATTATTTTTACATTTTAGGATACATTATAATATTGAATTGAAGGCAATTGAGGTGGGTGATGATTTCATCCAACTTCCAACAAATATATTCAACACACCTTCCAAACGAGGAACAATAATTGATAGTGGAACAACCTTGGCTTATTTTCCTCATGTCATTTACACCCAACTAATGCAAAAGGTTTCTCAAATATTTCAACTTTATTCCTTCCATTTTTACTTTTTTTTTTTTATAGAAAATCAATCATAACTTATTGTTTCTTTTTTTAATCTAGATTATGGCCACACAAACAAATAGAGTGCCTCATACAATTGATCATCAGTTCAAGTGTTACAGAAACCCCGGAAAGTGAGGTTTCTTTTATAAAAGATTATTCGAGTTATGAAATATGTAACTTTTTTTTTTTTTTTTTTTAATTTATGATAGTGTTGATGATGTGTTTCCAATGGTCACATTTCACTTTGCAAATTCACTTCCGTTGAAAGTTTATCCCCATCAATATCTTTTCCAAATTCAGGTATAAAAATCTAGTGTTTAATTCTAGTAACTATCATTGTTTTATAATTAAATTTATTGTATTTATTTTCAGTCTAAAGATTGGTGCATTGGTTTTTTGAGCAACGGGTTGCAGCCAAAGGAAGGAAAAGATTTGACCTTGTTGGGAGGTTAGTCTATAAAATTTTATAAAATTATGACAAATCTTTTAAACTTTTTAATTAATCATTGTTAATATTATTATTTTTTTGGGCAGATCTTGTATTAACAGACAGGTTGGTTACGTATAACATGGAAGATCAAACTATCGGATGGATTGAATATGATTGTATGTATACGTTGCTCTCTTTTTTTTTTAAATTCAGATTTAAGCTTGTTCAGGGGTATTATCGTAATTTGGCTTTTTTGGGTGTTTCAGGCTCATCGAGCATCAAAGTGAAAGATGAAGAGACGGGGAGGGTGTACCAGGTTGGGTCCCATGATATTACACCATCGTCCGGTTGTAAACATGAGTGGTTTATTGTGTGGTTGGTGTTTATAATAGCTACTAAAATAGTTGTGTATTAGAAACCATTGACCATAGTTGTAACCATGGTCAATGGTTGTGTTTAATAAGAGGGTGTTTGGCATAGCTTTTAAAGTGACTTTTCACTTTTATCTTTTTCTAAAAGTCAAAAAGTTGTTTGGTAATAGTGACTTTTCCAACATTTACAATAGAGGAAATGACGTCTTTTTGAAAAGTCACGTAATCGTGACTTTTCCAACTTTTACAAAAAGGACTTTTTGCCTTTCAAAAGCTAAGTCAAACACCCTCTAAATAAAGTATAAAGTATAAAGTATGTTTTAATATACATGCATTCCCCTATTGCTCTTGCTCATGATGATATTTTGAATTTTAAGGAAAAGTGGTAAATTTGGGAAGGAATATTGGTGGTATTAATGAAATTACCATGTAAAAACAGTATAAAAGATTTTAAATTTCAAACATAAGAATTAAAGGTTGTAACTACTAATGTCAAAATGAAAAATGATCTTGTTAAATGTTAACCGGATGGAAATAGGTAGGGTTGTGTTTTTTTGACCTCATCTAAATGATTTTTAGTTTTTATGAATAAGCAATTTATTAAATATGATGTGGAAATCATAATATTACAATGATAGTTTTTTTTTTTTTTTTGTTAGAGAAATTTATAGGGAAAATAACTTAAAATGGCAATCACTGATCTGGAGTTTGCTCTTTAGGTTACTAAATTTTTAATCGTATTTAATAAGCAAACCAACTTTTTATTTTAATTTTAAAATACCAACAATTATGATTTTTATCGATTAAAATGACAACAAACACCATCATTACCCTTGTCATATCTAACTAATAGCCTATTTTAGTCGTTTTTCTCAAACCATTAACTTCAACTACATCAATTTTTATCAATTAAAATGGCAAGGTCACAAAGCAATATGACGTTGCTAATGGTTATTGGTTGTGGTTTGAAAAAAATGATTACACGAGGCTTTTAGTTAGATGTTGCAAGAGCAGTATCCGTTGTCATTTTAATCGATAAAAATCATAATAGCTGGTATTTTAAAACCAAAATAAAAAGTTGGTTTCCTTATTGGATACAAATAAAAGTTTAGTGACCTAAAAACAATTTTTTCGTTATTGATTGCCATATTAAGTCAATTTATAAGGTTATATGTAATACATATATTCGATCTATTTGACCTGTTTTCTTTTAATTAAAATTTATATATCACCTTCCAAAAATAAATCTAAATTAGCTTGTTTACTTTAATATTCATTTAAATTGTTACATACGCAACCCAAACAGCTATGTATGGTTTGTCATTATATTTTTTTAGGTTTACCCTAAATGTGTGATAGTACAGTCAGTTGTACTATCATATCTATGTCATCAATACATGAATCATAGATACGTTTTATGTGTTTTGTGTTAGGTATGTTTTCTTGTTTTGTCTGTGACGACTACATTTGTTTTATTATACAAATAGCTTAGTCTGTAGTTGGATTCCAAAGATAGTGGTGGTGGTTCAGATGAAGGCGGCTACGGTTGCTTTGTATACTACAACTACGGATTGTAGACCCCTCATCTTTTGATGACTATGAAATGTATCACTTTCGGAATGAAGGTTATGGGAAACTTTATTCTCTCAGTTTTGTTGACATGTAGTTAGATTCCGCACACGTGCTATACGTCATTGATTTATTTGGTAAGTCATCGGGATGTCAGATTGATTTGATTGGTAAGGAATGGTGTTTGATTGGATTTGCCGGACTCCACACATGTACTATACGTCATTGATTTATTTGGTAAGTCATCAGGATGTCAGATTGATTTGATTGACAATGAATGACGTTTGATTTGATTAGTTGGATTCCACACACGTGATATACGTCATTGATTTATTTGGTAAGTCATCAGAATGCTAGATTGATTTGATTGGTAAGGAATAACGTTTGATTTGATTAGTCAGAATTCACACACGTGATATGCGTCATTGATTTATTTGGTACGTCATGAGGATGTCAAATTATTTTGATTGGTAAGAGGTTCAAATTGGAACAATTATCTGAGTTGAGAAACGTGATAACAAATCTGGGTCACTTATTTTTTTAATTAAAATCATAAAATAATAATTATATAAATAAAAAAACAAATAAAAAACTCACTAACCAACACCACCCATCCATCACCCACCACCCACGACCACCACCACTCACCACCACCCACCACCCCACCCACCATCCACCACCCAACACCACCATCAGCACCACTACCCACCACCCAACATCACCCACCACTAAAGATGTTCAAAATCTGTATCCGAAATTTTGGATATCCGAATTTCTGGAGATATCGAAATCACATATCCGAATTTTATTCAATATATTATTTACAAATATTTCAAAAACAATCTCATTTAGCATTGAATTAACGTAAATCTGAAACAAGTAGTAAACCACAAAAGTTAACAACTCAACCCTCAAAATTTCGTAGTTGACTAAATCAGTATGGCCTAAAATGAAGATGGGATTTTTTTTATTAGTAAAAATGAATGGACGGATATATCACCTAAAATTCCAATCTCTAATAGACACATGATTTCATAAATGGAAATTGAGAACCACATTTTAGCGTATTGTTAACAAAACTAACAAAGTTTTATTTTTTTGAAAACTAATCATTTGGTCCGGAATAGCTATTCGGGACAAAAACAAAACAATTCAAACTCAATACTGTAACCCAATGCTATATATATCGGCCTCACACACAAAAATCCGGAATAAACGTTCCAGATTTTACAATTTCGAAGGTCGTTATACCTGCATTTTAAACCGATTTTTTAGTATGGATTCGTCAAACAACGTGAGTTCTACTCTTTAAGTTACTTCTATTTGAATTTACAAACAAGTATATGTATTCCAGAAACAAGTATATGTATTCCAGAATGAGTAGAACAAGTCTGGAATACAAAGAACGAGTCTAAAATATCTTATTTTTGTATTTTTTTTTTTCGTTTTACACATATGAGACGCATGTAAGTATCTTATATTGTGTTTAGGACTGGTTTTTTTAGTCTGGAAATAAGTTTTCTAGAGAATCTAAAATGCTACTGTCCATCCGGAACACGAAGAATGTGGTCTGAAACACGAAGAACGTGATCCGGAACACGATCATCAATTTTGGAATGATGTTTCACAATCACACTCCGAAATATATTTATTATTGCTTTTATTGTTTACAATATTGTTTAATAACCTGTATTAGTCTAAAGACGAATTTGTGTGGATGCTGTTAAAAAAATGGGTTTTATGGACGAATAAGTTGTATTTTATTTATAGGAGCTCTCAGAATTGTGTCCGATAAATGTATATTCAGATTACAAATATTTGTAATAGATTTTTTATTTTATTTCCCTCATTGTTTTGGTAGTTTATTAAAATGTTGTTGGAATTTTGTTTTTGGAGATAAAAAATCAAGATGCTGAGTTAGAAAATAATAATAATAATAATAATAATAATAATAATAATAATAATAATAATAATAATAATACACCAAAGGCACCTATAAAATTAAGAAATAAATCGAAAAGGGTGTTAAAGCTTAAACTGAAAACAGATAGAACTCTGAAGGATGGGACCAGAGCAAGTTCAATCAAACCTATTATTATAAACTAGTTGCCAATAAAACAAATTGTTTTGGATATGTTTCAGCAAGTTGGTTTTATTTTTGGATAAGTTTATGCAAGTTGGGTTTTAATGTGTATGTTGATATATTTTATTTTCAGTCTCCAACATCCAGTGACTCAATCAGAGGATGAATTGTCATTAGAATATGAAATACTATGTCTTGAAGATGAGCAACGATATCTTGTTAATACGACTGCATTAGAAATGATTTGCGATATTATCAACGTGCTAAAAAGGAATGGTAATACTGGAAATCTCATTGCCACCTTTTACGGCCGAGGAACAGAGAAAATTAGCATTGTATAATATGCAAATGCTCCCCCATTACGATGTCTAAAGATATATGATAGTTTGTGAACACAATGGACATCATTGAAGAAGCACGTAGGACGACTCCAACAATAGAAGATCGAGTCGAAATGACTAATAATAGGTTCAGCCTAACTGAGACGTACATGGAATTGTTTGAAAATCATGTAGACATGGCTAGTTTGCATCGGATGCAAGTTCCCGGTTATCATGGAAATGTAATCTAATTTTAAATATTGTAATGTCTTTTGAAATTTAAATATGTAAAAGGAACGGTAGGGTTATCTAAAATGACAATGTTTTTCATTAACATTAGTACAAAGATTGTTACAAATCCTAATACATACTTAGATTGGTTTCCACAAATTAGGAAATTATAAGAGATATATATTTTGTCCACGGTCGATAAAATCTCCTCTATTTCTAACAACATATGTTAAACTGTCTTGTTCTGTACGAAGCTTATCAGTTTCCACATTTGCATCTTGAATCCACTTCTTATCTTCTTTGACTTTTTTCATAGCTTCAACAACCTATTTTTCTTTATCATTTACTTGTTCCACTAAATCTTCTACACATTGAGTGAGTGTCCGATTTATTTCAGAGTCTCTTTTGTTTGCTTCTTCAACGGCCTTCATAGCTTGGAAAATGTCATCAGGCATTTTATCCGAGAGTGGGAAATTTGGGCCTTACGAAAACGGGTTAATATCTGAACAAACATAGCAATCTTCTTCTTCACAATGTCAAAAACCAAACTCAGATGAACTTATTCTCAATTTTTTCTACGTTTATGATGTATGATAGCTACATATTAATAGGATGAATTTGTAACAAAGTTTACTATATCCGGAATGTGTGTCTGAAATGTTGTGTCCGAAATATGGTCTCTGGAAGGTGGTGTCTGGAATGTGTGTCTGGAATATGTGTCTGTGACTTCGTGCGTCAGGAATCTATGACATGTATGATTGATTTGACTAGACATGAATGATTGATATGATATCCTAAATGGAATTCCGGATTGACATGTAATCCTGAATATGGCACTATAAATAAGAGAATGAATTTGAATAACCTTTAGACCTCCGGAATGGCAGAAAATCAACCCCATCCGTGG